CAATCAACTGTGTTCCTTGCAGCTGAAGATCTGAGTGCACATTACCACAGCTGCACCGCAGAGAATGATAATGCAAAGTGATATTATTGCAGCAACTTGAAAAATATGTCTAGAGAAAAACTTCCTCTCCTCCAAGATTGTTGGTTATTAATATGTACTACTCTTTTGCATGATTACATACTTCATATAATGCAGTATCAAACTATATAGATTCTTTGGTAAACTGGCTTACTTCCTCAATAGTATTCATGATGATAATATAGCACTTTATTTTATACAAACCAATTTGCCTGTGTTCATAGAAAATTAGCTTTCAGAAGTTTTTTCTCTTCTAAACAAGGCTATAATGAATAGTCATGTATATATATTCCTTTAGCCATGTGTGAAAATTCCTCTGAACAGTGGCTTTCAAATATTTTTACTTAAACAGTAAAAAATACATTACATATTGTAATTCAACACACATATACCAAAAAATGTAAAAAAAACTGCATGAAAATACAAACTCATACATTCCAACGTAGTCTGTTTTATTCCACTGTATTGTATATATGATATTTCATTTTTAATTTACACTTCCCATACTACTAGTGAGACTGAGCATCTTTTCACATGCTTAGTGGCCATTCAGGTTTCCCTTTCCTATTCATGACCCAAATTTCATTTTGGCTATGTCTTTTCCTTACTGCTTTGTTAAAGTTCTCGATATATTCTGGATATTACTACAGAATGTCCTTTTCTAGAAAACATTTTTTAATGCAAGTAGTAAGTTTACTTGGTTCAAAATTCAAAATAGCATACAGGTTATTTAGTAAAAACAGCTTCCTACCACTCTAGAGATATTCCATATAAACACATATTCTTCCCATTTCTTTTTCTTTTTTTTAATTTAAATTTTGTTAGTTAACATACAGCACAATATTGGTTTCTGGAGTAGAATTCAGTAATTCAACACTTACATATAGTACCCAGTGCTCATCACACAACTGCCCACTTTAATACCCATCGCCCATCTAGCTGATGACCTTCCCACCTTCCTCTAGCAACCCTCAGTTTGTTCTCTATAATTAAGTCACTTATGACTTTTTTGCTTTTCCCCCTTCCCATACGTTCACGTTTTCTTTCTTAAATTCCACATATCAGTGAGATCATATGGTATTTGTCTTTCTCTGACTTATTTTACTTAGCCTAAGTAATCCATTCTGATATCCTGTGTCTTTTGATTGGGGCATTTAGTCCATATACATTCAAAGTGATTACTGAAAGATATGAATGCAGCACTATTGTGTTACCTGTAGAGTTGGTGATTCTGGTGATGTTCTCTGGACCTTTCTGGTCTTTGTTCTTTTTGGTATTTTTTCCCCCCGCTCATAGAGTCAGTCCCCTTAGTATTTGCAGGGCTGGTTTAGTGGTCACAATCTCCTTTATTTTTTGTTTAGGAAACTCTTTATCTCTCTTTCTATTTGGATGACAACCTTGCTGGATAAATAATTCCAACCCATTACATTAAATATTGGAATACTGGAATAATCATCCCAACTCATCACATTGACTAATTCCAACGTACCACTTTGAATAATTCCAGCTCATCTCAGTGAATATTTCCTTCAACTCCTTTATGGCCCACAAGGTTTCAGTGGACAGATCTGTTGCGAAGCTGATCTGTTTTCCCTCGTAAGATAAGGACTTTTCTTTATTTTGTTGCTTTCGGGAATCTTTCCCTGTCTATTTTGTGAATTTGACTATGATATGCCTTGGTGATGGTTGCCTCTTTTTGAATTTAATGAGATTTCTCTGCTTTTTGGATTTTAATGTCTGTGTCTTTCTCCAGGTTTGGGATGTTTTCACCTATAATTTGTTTGAATAAACTGTCCCTTTTTTTTCTCCCTACATCTTCTGGGACTCCTATGATACAAATGTTGTAACAGTTTAGTAAGTTGCTGAATTCCCTATGTCTACCTTTGTGATCCATTACCTGTTTTCTTCTTTTTTTCAGCTTCCTCATTTTCCAACTTTTTATCTTCTACATCACTGATTCAGTCCAATGATTCACCTGTCCTCATTTTTATGGCCTCCACTTAGAACTGCATCTTGATTACAGCATTTTTAATTTCAGCCTGACTAGATTTTAGGTCTTTTATCTCAGCAGTACAGGATTCTCTAGTGTCTTCTATGCTTTTTTTCAAGCCCAGCTAGTACCCTTATAATCATTGTTTTAAATTCTAGTTAGCTATATTGATTAAATCCCTGGCTGTGAGTACTACCTGCCATTCTTCTGGAATAAATTTCCCTCTCTCATTATTTTGTCCAGAAAAGAAAGGAAGACAGGGAGCTGGGTGGCTCATTCAGTTAGGCCTCTGTCTTCACCTCAGGTCATGATCTCGGTGTCCTGGGATTGAGCCCTGTGGCAGGCTTCCTGCTCAGCAGGGACTCTGCTTCTCCTTCTCCCTCTGTCCCTCCCCCAACTTGTGCTTGCTCTCTCAAATGAATGAATAAATAAATCTTAAAAAAAATAAAGAATCTAGATCCCAAAGTAAGAAAAAAATATAAAAATAAAAAATGCTAAAAATATAAAAATAAAAAATGCTAATGAAAGTAAACCAAAAAATAAAAATATAAAGTATACATATAAAAATGTAAACTTTTTAAAAAGAATTGCAAAAAATAAGAAAATAAATGAAAAAGAAGGAAGTAAAGAATAAAAGTCCAAAGGAGGCTAGATACTATTTTTCCTCAGTGCTGAAGCTTTCAGAACTCTGTGATCAGTAAACTCAGTGCAAGCAAACTGTTTGTACTGGTCTTCTTGGGAAGGGGTCTGTTGTGCTGATTCTCAAGTGGACTTGCCCTCAGTGGTGGGGGAAGGCGGAGCAGCAGCCCGGGAGGCAGGGCTTGGTGTAAGCAGCTCCAGAATCCACTAGGTGGCCCTGTTTTTCTCCCTGAAGACTTTCAGTGCTGATGGGTATGTGGGATGAATATGGTGGCACCCCACTCTCTAGCCCAGGAGCTGAAAACTCACATCCCCCACTCTTCAAGGAACCCTCACAGAAGAGCAGTCAATCACTCTTGCCTCCCTAGTTGCCATCAGAACCCTGTGTTCACCCTGTCTGTGTCCAAGCTTTTTTACCTCAGGCATGCATCTGAGTTTCAAAACCAAATTTTAGGGACTTCTGTGGCACAGACCTGCATTGATTCCCAGGGGAGGGTCTTTACACAATTCTACAGACACCCCCCCGCCTTCTTTTTTTTTTTTTTTAATTTTATTTTTTATAAACATGTGTTTTTTCCCCAGGGGTACAGGTCTGTGAATCGCCAGGTTTACACACACCCCCCGCCTTCTTGACAGGCTGCATGATCCAGTAATGAAAGAGATTCAGGTGGGAAAAGAGGAAAATTATTAACCAAGAACAAAACCACAAAATGGATGAGCTTGCATTAAAAAGAAAAGACCCTGTGGCTTAGGCTGAATACCTATCTTCCTTCTTGAAATCTGAAATTCCAGTACATGCAAGGCAGAGAGAGTGTCTACTTTACCAGCCCCCAACAGAAAGTCTGGGCATTGAGTCACCAATGAGCTCCCCTGGCAGGCAACATTTTACAGACATTATCAAAAACTCATTGCTAGAGCAATTAAGCATACCTTGTGTGACTCCACTGGAATAAAACTCTTGAAAGATTGCTGATTTTGCTTTGTATTGTTTCACTATAATAAATCATAGCCCTGAGTTTGACTGTACACTAAATGCTGAGAATCCTCATAGTGAATTACCGAACATCAACATGGACTTGGAACAGATTCACCACATACTCAAAAAGTTTGATAAACTCTAAGCAGATAACCACCTGTAGGCATATCACAATCACACTGCTTAAAAGAAATGATAAAGAAGAAGTATTAAAAAATCAAGAATGAGAGGGGACCCTGGGTGGTTCAGACACTTGAACAGCTGACTCTTGATTTCAGCTCAGGTCATCATGTAAGGGTCCCAGGACTGAGCTCTCTGCTCAAAACAAAGTCTGCTTGGAATTCTCTCTCTCCCTCTCCTGCCCCTCCCCACACCTCCCTCAAATAAATAAATCTTAAAAAGAAAAAAAATCAAGAATGAGAATAGCTTCAGGCTTCTTAATAGCAACTCTGGAACTAGAAGACAATGAAATAATGCCTTCAAAATTCTGAAGAAAAATAATTTCCAACCTAAAATTCTATATAAATTGCCATCCATTTATCAAAGTGTGATAAACTCATCTTCTGACATGCCATTTATCTTCCATAAATCCTCTCTTGAAAGCTACTAGAAGATGTCCTCAATCATACTGAGAGTGAAAACCAAGAAAGAGGAAGACATGGAATCCAGGATAAAGTTGCTCTACATTAGAAAGAAGTGAAGGGAATTACCAGGAAGATGGTGAAGAGAGATGTAAGGGTAGCTAAATCCACAAAGCAGAGAGGATGAGTTCAACTTAGAGCAGCTAGGAGGTTGTGGGAATGAGCTCTCCAAAAAGACAAAACAGCTGGACTGCCTACTTTGCATGAAAACCTTAACAGGAGAGCTAAAAATGGCAAAAAACGTAGTTTTATTAACAATAAATAAAGTTAGGCAAACAAAAACCCAAAATAATTAACTCCAAGGAAAATGAAAAGTTGTGAAGGAAAAATAATCGTAATTAATATTTAGCATGGTTATGAATATTATGCAATGCTAAATACTAATCTAACCAAATCATGATACATGTGTCCTTAGAGAATGGAGGAATGGAAAAAGTTTCATATGTTAGCAGGTGCAGGGAGTGGGTGAGGAGGAGTGGGTTACCCATGTTACCCATGAGGAGTTACCCATGTTTATAAGCATATAAGCATGTTACTTAGAGACAAGGAGGTAAATAATGAAAGAATCACTAAGAGTCAAAATTGACTGCCCTGGAAAAAGGAGTTAAAAATGAAACACCAAAGGACTATGATTAACAAATGTCCTAACCAGAATTTTGAGACAAACGGTACTTACCTTTACAAGCTCAGAGGGCCTCTCTTCACTAGTCGAAGAATGATTGCTTGAACAAGAAGCACAGTCTGATATTTCCACAACACTCTCACCATCTTCAAATTCATTATACTCACTAGGATCTTCCCTGTCACTGTCAATCTCCCAGTCAATAAATTGTAGTTCATCTAAAAAACACAGTTTTAAACAATTGTATATATGCTGTTTCTTAATCTATTTTCTTTATTCTCAGTAGTTAAAAACATCCATATTGCTGAGTAAATTTTAAAACATATAGTAAAAGACTGTGAAAACTACACTCCTACTCTTATCTCTAGCCATCCTGTTTCTCCTATCACCCCTACCCCAATTCTCAGGTAACTACTTTTATTAATTATTTTTGTATCTTTCTAGGGTTTTTCCAGCATGTTCAAGGAAATAAAATATAATTTTTTTCCTTTCTGATACACTTTAATTTTTTTTTAACTTAACAGAGGTTTTCCATATCAGTAACAGGGTATCCTCATTCTTTTCTAAAACATAGTATTCCACTCCAGAGGTGACCCACAGTTTATTTAATCAGTGTCCTTTAAAAAAAAAAAAGATTTTATTTCTTTATTTGACAGAAAGACAGTGGGGGAGGGAATATGAGCAGGGGGAGTGGGAGAGGGAGAAGAAGGCTTCCTGCCCAGCAGGAAGCCAGACATGGGCTCAATCCCAGGACCTGAGCCAAAGACAGATGCTCAACAACTCAGCCAACCAGGGGCCCCTTTAATCAGTCTCTTGTTTTTTTTGTTTTGTTTTGTTTTTTAAAGATTTTACTTTTTAATTTGACAGACAGAGATCACAAGTAGGTAGAGACGCAGGCAGAGAGGAGGAAGCAGGCTCCCTGCTGAGCAGAGAGCCCGATGTGGGGCTTGAACCCAGAACCCTGGGATCATGACCTGAGCCAAAGGCAGAGGCTTAACCCACTGAGCCACCCAGGCGCCCCATAATCAGTCTCTTGTTACAGATTTCTTAAAGAACCTAAAACTTTTTTTTATAGATTTTGCATCAAGTTTTAAAAAAACAAGTAAATTTAGTTTTTAGTTTACTTTTATAAGCATTGTTATCTAGGTGCTACTTTTGCAAAATTTAATTTGGAAGTTAAATTATTTTCATATATCAAATAACCAAATTTAATCTATTTTTAAAGAAATAAAAGTAGCTATTAGGGGTAAATTAATCTCTGAGGTATCTCTGAGGCATGTAAGATAAACCTTTCCTACAGTACAAAGCCCAAGTATTCCTTCACGGCTACTTCAACAACTCAGAGGGCTAGTAAGATATCTTGATCCTATTTTAGAGGTATACTAGCAACAATCTTATTTCCAGATAGAAGTAATATTAAAAATAAAATAACTTACTAGCTTTAATACCTGAAAGGGAATTCAAAATTTAAAAAAAAAAAAGAAAAATTTAAGCTAAAGGTAAAAGTATGGAATAAAGCAAACAAAAATGTAAGTCTTCTTTTTTCTGACACCATTGTTCCAGAAGATAAGTCCACTATGGGGGGCGGGGGGGACAAGATGGCGGGGAAGTAGGAGGAGGCGCCTTTTCAATCTGTACCAAGTGAGCTGATTACCTACCAAAGAACTCCGATCACCCATGAAATCAGCCTGAGATCAGAATTATACACATCTGGATCTCTACAGGGGCAGAAGACGCCAGTGGGCAGGTAAAGCGGGGTGGGAAAGGCTGACTGATATCGGAAGATAAACAAAAGGGGGAGGGAGCCACCAGAGGTGACCGGTTGGAAAGTAATACCCCTAATACGAGCGAGAGTGGCCTGCGTCTGGGGACCAGCATTAACTTAGAGACTGGTTGAAAGCACTCCAAAAGAGCAAAAGATCACAGGGGCAAAATTGTGGGAATCGGGGCAGCTAGGGACAGGGGCTTAAGTCCCTGGTCCCAGGACAGCCGCCCCTGGGGCGGAGCCAGAGAGAGTGCGGCGGTGAAACCAGGTCTTGGTCCCTGAGCCGCCAGCACGCCCGAGATTGAGATTGCGTGGGTTCTGGCCCCTGTGAGGGGATGTGAGCCATGCCAGACCGCAGAACAAGGGAGCCCTGCTACAGAGCCTGAGATGCGCGCGCCCCTCATCCTCCCCTGAGAGAGGTACAAAGGACCAGCTTTGACATGCACCATTGTTTCAGAGACTAAGATGAGCGCCCCAGACTCTCCCCTGAAAGAGGTGCTCGCAAGCCTGGCGCTCTTAGAACCAGAAAGACTAGGCATTCCCAGCCTGGGCCAGAGGGAAAATCTCAGTGTGTGATCACTGCTTGGAAACTCTCTGGCCGTCTGGAGCTGCCCAGACAGCCGCCACTGCTGCCCTGGTTTTGGGTACAAGCAGAAGAGCCCGTGTCACCAGGGACCGCGACACGGAACATGCTCTGCCAGCGGCCAAGGGGGGATTTATATGGGCTCTGCAACACCCACAGAAGAACAGACTGAGGCTTCTCTCTGAGAGGGAGGTCAGGGTGCAGTTTGCTTTCCTCTAAACCTACAAAAACCATCAAAAGCGGTCAAGGCGAGAGGAAAAAAAAAAAAAAAAAAAAGGTGAACAAACA